ACACACACACACACACACACACACACACACACACACAACTTGTAGTGGAGAAGTTTGCAAAAAGCTCAAAAGTTGTCCAACAATTTAAAAACATTATAAATAACATTATCTAAGTACTGGACAGGTCACAGTTCTTAGGGTATGTACTTTTCATTGAATAATGACTTTAAGGGGTAGAGTTCTCATTTGTTCATGTGTCATAGCATGACTTTGAAATGGAACCCAAGAAAACTAAAAATATGGCTCACCTTTTGGAACTCTCTCCCCATTTTCATGCTGCAATTTAAAACTGCTTCTAAGCAAGTCAAATATCCCAAATAGGGGTCTTTCTGCGTGATCCCTTATCAACTTGTCAGGAAACACATCTCTTTCAATAACCCAGAAGACAATTGAAAGTCAATGAAATTAAAATTACCTTAATACAAAGTAAATCTGCTGGGATCACCCCCTCTTTCAGTCATATAGACCTAGCAGTAAACACACACGCTGCAAAAATTTCATTTCAATTAGCACTGCTATTTTGTTCCCCCAATTTTATCATCAAAAGCTGTCACACACAGCTGCATTTGAGTTGATTCTTCTAGGCAATTAAAACCAATATGACTGAAGGCTGAGTAACACTTATTTAAAGCAGAGGCAGCAGTGAATTATTTCTGTTGTTTTGCTTGTTCCACTATGCCTACTTACAGAAGTGCAGCCTACACACAGAACAGCGCGCGCGTGTGTGTGTGTGTGTGTGTGTCCCTTCCCATATACTTCTAGGGATGCTCATGACACTTAAGATGACTAAAGGGTCCCCATGACAGTCTGATGTAAGTGGAATCCAGCCTGCTCCACAGAATACTTTGATCTCACATCGTCCTTTGTCTCCCACACCTGTTGCCCTCAAAGTACAGTGCTCAGTTCATTTTTACAACAAGCTGTGACCCTAAGCTAAGAATTTTAGTATCAATTCAATTATTAAAATGATTCCCTTTGATATTTTCTGAAAGAAACCTCAAGGAATTCTTTTCAGTCTAACTTGCAAGTACAGTAAAAATTGCATTAAATTGTCATAATTGGGATAAACGGAATTAGTGGCAAATCTGAATAACTGTGCAAGATTTAAATGTATGTATAACAGTGTAGTAACTGTGGACTGTAACTGTGCTGTCCAAAGAAGCTTATGATGATCCTACTTTTCAAAAAAAGATTTTAAAGTTGTGATATTTAATATACTGTGTTCATGTAGCTCTGACTAAAGTCATTTTTATAAGTGAAAAAGCCTGCTTTCAGTTGGCCATCTATTTCTCTTGTAGTCTCATAAACATTACTAATTAACTTAGAAAAAAAACTTTTTCATAGGTTGAACACAAAAGGAAATTTTATTCTAGTCCATTGCCAAATTTTTCTTCAACATTCTCACTGAGCAGATCCCAAAGTAATGAGATTTTTCTATGGAGACACATGAAATCTAATCTCTGAGAGCCATGAATAGTGATGACTGGCTGGCTCATAAGTGAGTATTTACTCAATAGAGGATTTTTATACACAAAAATGGGACATTTCCTTTAAGCATCAAAGACACAATCAATAACTTTTTCCATGCTCTGGGTCTTCCATGACTCACCTCTAAGGTGTCTCCATCGATCTCTCCCTCCAGTTCTACTGTACTGCCCACTGAATTGGTTATCATCTCTTTGACCAAAGAGCAAAACCTAGAACAGCAAATGTCACAACAATGCTGCCAATTAGGATCATTCTTGTTCCTTGTGCTTAATTTAGCCTCACTACATTTAGCTGTACTTAAATATCAACCAAACTTTTATAAGTCATGGAATAATTAATCCATTCCTTGACTTGACATGGTACTTTGGTGGTTATCTAATCCAGTACAAATACCCACGTGACACTTGACTCCCCTCTATACAGTATTTCTACCTGTTGGATGGTCAATTGATGCTTGAATATCTCCAGCAACAGATAACTCATTACCTCCTAAAGACAGTTCATTCTTTAGAGAACTTAATACAAATGTTTCCCTTTTACTGAATTAAAGACTTCCTTTATGTGGGTTCCATCCAAAGTTTGCTTAGAATGAACTCCTCTTATATATGACAACCCATTAGAAATGCATATAATTTTATCATGTCTCTGTAAGTCCTTCCTTCCCCACCCCACCCCCGTTTCCTCCAGGACTTGTGAGTCACCCCACTAACAGGTAATTCTTCAAATGTGTCCCTGTCTAGCCCTGAGAATAGTGTTCCACTGGTGATCTAATCAATGCTAAGGATAGCATTTTTTGTAGCGATGGGGTCTCATCTCTCAAGTTGTAGACAGTCTAGTTCTTAGTGAGTCATAAGGTACATAAGAGGGGCAAGGGTGAGGAGGAAATGCATAAGGCAGCCACATCACTCTTTTGACACAGATTAAGCTTAATGTCAACTATTATCCATCAATCTTGCTCACAAATGCTGCTGGGCCACATAGGTACTTCCTAGACTTGTGTAGTTGTTTATTTGTCACAAGTGATCTCAACTCATTAGAAAAATTTTAATTCAGAATCCTCTCTTAGGATGTCAAGGAGGAATACTGTATACTTCAGGAGAATTTCAACAAACCATTCAAATGCTCTTTTTTCTAACTAACCCAGTCCACCTTTTCTTCTTCTAATCTTTGAAAGCTGGGAAACCCAATAGTCACTCTTCTTAGGAGACAATAGTCAGGCTTCTTAGGAGACACATGGCATGCACTCATCAGAATAACTAAAATTTAAAAGATGGTATCAATTGTTAAGAATATGGAGTAACTGGAACTCTCATACATTGCTGGTAGGTGTGTAAACTGATATGTCCACTCTGGAAATTAATGGCAATATTAACCCAAACTGAACATAAACCTACCCTCTAACTCAGTAATCTACTCCTAGGCATAAACTCAACAGAAATAAATGTAAATGTTCACCAAAAGGCACGTATAAGAATGTTCATAGCAGTTTTATTCATAATAGATACAAATTGGAAACAAACCAAATGTTCATAAATAGGTGAACAGATGAATTATTGCATATTCACACAATGGAATGTTACATGAAAATAAAAAGGAAGAATTGATAGACACATCATGGCTGAACACCATGGATATTATTTTAAGGGAAAGAAACAAGAAACAAGAGTGCAAATGATATGATTCTTTTCACTTATAGGTCAGGAACAGGTAACACTAATCATTGGTGATAGAAATAAAAATAGCTATCATTGGATGGGGTTTAATGACTGGAAAGGAACACAAGGCACCTTCTGGGGTACTGATCTGGGAGGTAGGCACAAGGGTGTAGACATATATAAAAATGTATCAAGATATATACTCAAAGTGCTCTTTACAGATTTTACTTGTATGTATGTTATATCTCAATTTAAAAATTATTAAAATGTATGGCAAAAAGGCACAGAGTACTGAATGAGGTCCAGAAAGGTAAACTTTGTAGTAAAAGGATGTTCTGCCTAGTATTTGACAGCATTCTTTTCTACTGTACATTGAAGGTTGTGACATAAGGATTCCCTAGTCTGATAGTTAGTGTAATCTTCAAATATGTTGTGATGATTGTCTGAGACACACTGGCCTAAAACTTTCTCAAATTACATGATACAAATACTCAAAGTAGGAATAAAGGCAACTCCTCAACCTGAAAAAGGCTACCTATGAAAAACCTGCTGCTAACATCATACTTAATGCTGAAAGACTAACTGCTTTCCCCTTAAGATAAAAAAGATAACAAAGATGTCTACTCTTACAACTTCTATTCCACATTGTACTGGAGAGTCTAACCAGGAAAATTAAGTAAGGAAAAGAAATAAAGGCACCCAAGTTAGAAAGAGGGAAGAAAAAAAAAACCCTACATCTGCAGATGACATAATCTTACACATAGGAAATTCTAAGGAGCTCAGTAAAAACTATTAGAACTCATAAATGAGTTCAGAAAAGTTACAAGTTACAAAATCAATATTAAAAAATCAAGTGTATTTCTGTACATTAGCAGTGAACAAACCAAAAATGAAATTAAGAAAACAAGTGTGCTTAGTATCAAAAGAATAAAATACTCAATGATTCAATAAAAATTGCTTTACATGCTTGTTTGTTCAAAATAGAAGAATCAAATACTTAGATATATGTTTAACAAAAGAAGAATATGATGTATACACTGAAACTACAAGACATTGTTGAAAGAAATTAAAGAAAACCTAAATAAATAGAAAGGCAACCTGTGTTTATGAGTTGAAAGACAATATGGTTAATATGGCAATGCTCCATAAATTTATCTAGATAGCCAACATATCCCTGGTTAAAAATCTTTCTGCCATTTTTTTTGCAGAAATCAACAAGCTGATTGTAAATTCACATGAGAATGTAAGCATCCACAATAGCCAAAGCAATCTTGAAAAACAAGAACAAAGCTAGAAGACTCACATTTCCCAATTTTGCAACTTATTAAAAATCTACAGTATCAAGAAAGTACGGCACTTGCATAAGAATAGGCATATAGAACAATGGAATAGAATTGAGAGTTCAGAAGTTTTTAAAAAACCCCTACATTTATGGTCAACTGGTTTTCTAAAAAAGTACCAAGACCATTCAGTGAGGTAAAGGGAGAATAGCCATTTCAACAATGGTGCTGGGACAACCACATATCCACATGTAAAAGAATGAACTTGGACCCCCTACCACACACCATATACAAAAATGAATTCAAATGGGTCAGAGACCTAAACATAACAGCTAAAACTATAAAACTCTTCAAAGAAAACATAAAAAATAACAGAACATGCTACGTTCGGTAAAGCCTTAGGATACGAACCAAAAGCAGAAATGACACAAGAAAAAATAGATAAATTGAGTATCAGAATTAAAAACTTTTGTGCTGCAAGTGATACCATCAACAGAGTGAAAAAGACAATCCACATTATGGGAGAAGATACGTGCAAGTAGTATCTGAGAAGGAACTTGTATGGAGACTATATATACAGGACTCTTAAAATTCAATAATAAAAAGGCAAACAATCCAATTTTAAAAGGGCAAAATTTGGAGATGCCTGGCAAACTACTTGCACCAGGTGATCCAAGTGAATATCACCACTAGTTACACAAAGATATTGTGTGCCTTCTTATATGAGGCACTGAGAAGGATACAATATCACTTCTGTGGTGTTTCTGTCCAAAATACAAAACTCTAGTGTCATTATGAGGAAATGGTAAACAAACCCAAATTGAAGGACTAAATTGCCTGTATTCTTTGAAAGAACACTTTCAAAGCCAAGAAAGACAATGAAAGACTGATGATGAACTCTTCCAGATGAAAAGAGACTATACAGACATGTCAACTAAATGCAACAAGTGATCCTGGATTGGATCATGGACCAGAGGAGAAATCTTTAGTTTTGCTATAAAGGACATCAGCTGGACACTAAGTAAAAATTGGTCAAGGTTCGTAGATACCATGTCAATCTTAATTTTCTCATTAGATAACTGTACTGTATAATTATATAAGTGAATGTCCCTATTTTGGGAAAATACATGGAAGTATTTAGAGGTATTGGGATATTATGCCTATAACTTAAACAGTTCAGAAAAAAATAATCATATGCATATAGAGAGAATGCAAAACTGGATAAAACAATGAAATTCTTTGTACTGTTTTCTGAAGCTTTCCTATAGTTCTTAATATTTTCCAAAATAAAAAGTTTAAATTTTTTTTTAGTTGAAAAAATAGTTTGAATAGACATTTCTCCAAAGAAGATATACAAATGGCCAGGGTGGGGGAAGGAAGATTCATTTTGAAGCTGTGTTTGTAGGGTAGCAAAGAGTTTTCATATACACTATAGTTAACAGATCAATAAACATCTAAATGTTTTCTTTTACTTACTTACTTATTTATTTATTTATTTATTTATTTCGAGTTGGAGTCTCACTCTGTCACCCAGACTGGAGTGCAGCGGCCGCTCTCGGCCACCACAGTCTTGACCTGCTGGGCTCTGGCAATCCTTCTGCCTCTGCCTTCCAAGTAGCTGGAACTACAGGCGCACGCTACCATGCCCGGCTGATATTTTGATTTATTGTAGAGATGAGGTCTCGCTAAGTTGCCCAGGCGGGTCTTGAACCCGCGGGCTCAGGCAATCCACTCACCTCGGCCTCCCAAAGCTCGGGATTACAGGCTGAGCCACCAAGCCCAGATAAATGTTTTCTAATAAAAAATATACAAATGGCCAATAAACACATGAAAAGATGTCCAGTATCACTAGTCACCAGGGAAATATAAATTAAAACCATAATGAGATTGTACTTCACACTCGCTAGAACTGCAGTAATCAAAAGGACAGAGAATAACAAGTGTTGACAAGGACATGACTAAATTGGATCCTGCATACATTGCTAATGGGAACATAAAATGGGAAATCAGGCAGTTCCTCAAAAGGTTAAACACAGAATCACCATAAGATCCAGAAAACATGACTCCAAGAGAAATGAAAACACATGTCCTAAAGACTTGTAAGCGAATGTTCATAGAAGCAAAATTGACAATAGCCAAAAAGTGGAAACAATCCAAATGCCTATCAACTGACAAACAGATAAGTAAAATATGGTCTATTCATAAAACAGACTATCATTTAGCTACAAAAAAAATGAAGAACTGAAGCATGCTACACATGGATAAACCTTGAAAACATTATGCCAGTTACAAAAGACTGCATATTATATGATATGGATATGAAATGGCCAGAATAGGCATATAGAGAGAGACAGAAAAATCTATCAGTGGTTGCACAGGGCTAGGGTTGAGGGAGGTGAGGTTGAGGGAGGTGAGGTTGAGGGAAAATGGGGAGTGACTGCTTATGCATACTGTGTTTCTTCTGGAGGTGAAGAAAATATTCTAAAATTAGATAGTGGTGATGGTTGCAAAAATGAATATACTAAAAATATTGAGTTGTATATTTAAATGGTTAAATTTCATGATATGTGAATTATCTCTCAAGGAAGCTGTAAAAATAATTTTCTACAAGTTAAATTTTCAAGAAAGGCAGTATAATAAGTAAATATCTTTCGGAATCAAAGGCTCTTTTAAAAATGATTCATCATAATTAGACTGCAAATATCCAAATCAGCTATAACTCACCTACCACACTGGTCTTCAGTGGAAAAGTAGATTTGAAAGTCATCAGAATTATCATGGACATAAAGAAAACAGCATCGCTCATCAAACTTGGATAGGCTGTAGAAATTCAAAACATAAGAATGCTTATAAATAAGTTATTAAACCAATATTACATTTCTGAGAAAATCTAATAAGAGATTTTGTTATTTTACAAATTTCTGAAAGATTTATTAACATTTTAACCAATATCCCCTAAATTTGCTTTTTATTTCTCTATGAAATGTAAATACCAGGGACATTTATCTTGCTTATGTTTGAGTTTGTATTTATCAACTGACTTTAACGAATATGTATAAAGAACTGATCCTTAATATAATTAAATGCTCAGTATACAGGCAACAGAAAATGTAATAAAATATGGTCTCTGCCCTCAAGAAGTTTATAATATCAAGAAAAAGATAAGCAAATTATTTGTGAAATCATTTATTATGGTATCAAAGGAATTTCTGGACTTGGAAAATATCAGGACACAGTATTTGTGGCCACACAAGAAAAATAGAAAACAACACAGCATTACAGCTCAAAAAAGGCCTTTAAATGCTATCTGGACCATCTTTACTCAATGTCTGCATTTGACTCTACAGTTCCTCCAACAAGTACTATTCAGCTTGCCAGTGACAGAAAATGACCACACTCTATCTGCTGACAGATTTCACATGAAAGAGTTCATCAGCCACACTGGTCAAAGCCTCCACAGGGCCTTCATTCTGCCAGGTGGTACTATGGAGACCAAGGCTAGAGTCTCCTCTACACTTAGCCCTTCAAACAATGAAGCCACTTTATCTTGTCCCTTCTAAGTTATCTCTTCCTAAGATCCAGACCTTCTTAGACCATTCTTCCATGCTATAGATTACATGGCAAACACTGAGTTGAAACATCCATAGTGCAGTGGGATTGAAAGAAAATTAAAACTAGGTTATACAACTAGGTTATGCATAAGTCTTGAAAACCAATCTATGAAGGAACTACCATAGTTTGTTGGATAGCCTTGGCAATGCTCAAAGCATACCCTTCATGTCACATCAGTCCTGGAGTCTGATTCACTGTAGGCCCTTTGCAAATCCCCACTGATGGTTGAAATGGCAACTAGAGATATCTCTGTGAGGAGGTACAAACAGAAGTTTCTTGGCTACATGTTCTCATACAACTTAGTTACTAATATATTTTTGAAAATGTTCAACACTTACAAATAAGCTTGTATCTTCTGGGCATTATTATCCAAATGTACTCTTCTAGAAGGGGAGAGACATCCCCCAACCAGAATTTCTTTATTAAAAATTGTGTATTTATTTTTACATGTTTAAACTTCAGTCACCTTCAAAGTACTCTCCATTTGATGCAATACACCTATTGAGATGCTTTTTCCACTGCTCAAAACAGTCTTTGAACTCATTAGTTTTTATGCCTTTTGGCACTTCCGCCATTTTTGTTTCACCCCTTCTACACCAACAAAATGTTTCCCTCTGAGGACTTTTTTCTTACAGAGAAACAAAAAAAAATGTTGCTTAGGGAGAGAGATCAGTGAATAGAGAGGGTGGGGCACAGGGGTCAACTGGTGAGCAATTAGCACAGTGTGGGCAGGTATGTGCGTATATCACATATCATGAAATGGGCAAACATTGAATGAATCTCCTCCTCCCCAAAAAGAAAACTATATTGAAGCTGAATGCAGCCCCTCACAACAACACTAGTTGGTACACTTATGCTGATGGGTTCCCAGAACACTTATCTAGCGGGAGATGCTTGTGCTACAAGAAGCCCACTGTCCAAAAGATAATTCCATTTTTTTCTGGGTTCACCCTCATATTCCTTAAATTATTCCCTCCCTTTAAGCAATGTAAACAGTGTTCTAATTTAAGCACTGATATTTCCAGGACGGGCTCAAACTGTATCTGGAGGTAGCAAGCTTTGTTCAGTGGGTGAGGTAGTCTCAGAATCAGAGAAAGGAGCATTCTAGTCCAAGGCCTTTATTCAATGGAAACAGGCCTAGAAAGGCCAAGTGACTTTTCCAATGTCACACAGCAAAGAGGGATTAGCTCTCACATCTACTTCAGAGCCACTCTCACCTTTGAATGTGAGGGCGAGGTGATGAGTGCAGCTAAGATGTATTAGTCCTGCCTGGGGAAGGCCATATGGCTCAGGCCCAAATGGTCACTGTTCTTGATCCAAAATGCAAGTGCCACACCTCTCCTTGGAATACACCACCTCACATCCTCCATAAATGACAATATCCCTGGCTCCATTACTCTGCTCAAGAGACTTCAGCCCAAGTGTCATTACCAAATAGCTCCTGGCTTCAGCTCCCAGAGTCACTGAGCACTTGAAAATCTCAGGCTCAAAGAAGATGCATTTTCTCTTTCTGCCAATATAATATTTTTCTTTTAAGTTTGACACAAGAGAGTTTCATCAGCGGGATATGAGAAAAGCTACTCTGTTATAAAAAGTCAAGAAGCTCTTAGCAGCAGTACATTAGTAACTAGCTTGGACAGGATAACAAAACAGAAAATAGTCTATTTTGGATTCCATTAAAAATAAGAACATCACATATTATGAATAAGTGCAAATATTAGAGTACATACATTATTGTAATTTGCATTAAAACAGTAACTACATTTTCTCCCATGTTCTTACCTTATTCCCTTTATGGAAGAGGCTGTAAAATTCCATTCATGGATTTGTTTCTGCAAGTATCAAAGACAGAATTCAATAGCTTGATTTTTTTCCTAAACAAAAGATCATTTTTGTTTCATTCTATAGTCAATCATTTCTGCTATTTTAACTTTCAGCATTTGGAGGTAGAGCAATATACCTTGTATAACTCAAAACTTCAGAAACATTTTCTCATATGTTATAAAAATTCACTTGTCTCTCTAATCCAGTTTAGAGCAAACAATATAAATTTGAAATAATCTGAATTTGAGATAGAAATAATAAGCACATAGTGAGTAGCTTTTCATCTTCTGTCAACATAATAGACAAACTCTAAAACAATAATGAAAAGAGCCCACTTAAGTTGAGTGACTTGCAAAAATGTTAGGAGAAGCAAGACTGTGGTAAACACCATTCAGCATTCAGCATTAATCAGTCTTCATTTCCTTTTCTCCCTGGATATGTATCTGAACTACATTTCTCAGCCTCCCTTGCAGCTAGGTGGGCCACACGATGGAGTTCTGAACAAAGGGATGTAAGCAAAAGTGATGTACTTCAGTTACAGGTCTGGCTTATAAAAACCTCCACAGCAATCTTCTACCTTCTCTTTCTCCATCCATTGCAAGATGGAATGGGGCCCCCTGCCAATCTGGATATGACATGAGGCATAGACAAACTTTTATCATGTTGAGACATTGAGATATGGGGGCTGTTTGTTTTAGCAGCTTGTCCGCCATAAGTAATCGAAAAACGAACTGGAATGTCAAGTAGTACCAAGATATACTTAAAAAACAAAACAAAACCTCTGTCCCCACCCTCCACTATCATTCCTTGCCTTAAACTTTGCACAAAGCTAAGCCTCAGAAGGCTCAGAAGGAATGTCTGAGATTCCCATGTCAGACAATCCATAGGCTATGATACCAACACATCACAACTGTAGAAAATAATTTTAAGTAGGAAAATCAATTTGGTTGGTTTGAGAAGTGTCATAAATGACCAACTAAGTCACCCCGTGAAGGGAAGTTTAAGAGCCAAGTGATTGAGCATATAGCTCAGGAAAGCTGCCATGAGCAGCTGGGTGACCAGTTTCCCATTATCCCGGAGCAATGACAACAGGAACAGACTGGAAAGATGGTTCCCAATGAGTATAGATCCATTTATACATTAAGGACCTATAGTATGCTAGGCAAGGTAAGTTACCAACACTGAAGACACGGCAGAGAACCACAAAGTCCCCTGTCCTCATGGGGCTTACATACAACTGAGGGGAGATGAACAATAAATTAAGCAGTAAAATAAAAGCACGGGGAGGGTAAAAAGTGCTATGAAGATAAATAAAGCAGAGAAGGGCATTAAGGTGGGGTGGGGGGTCGTGTCATTAAACTGGATGCTCAGGGAAGATCCTGATGATGATTTTTGAACAGAAAGCTAAGGGAGGTGAAGGAGTGAGGCATGCAGATATCTGGGGGAAGAGTTCCAGGTAGAGGGAAAAACAAGTCTAAGGACCCTGAGGCAGGAGTGTGCTTGGCATGTTTGGGGACCAACAAGAAGGTGAGTGTGACTGGAGCGAAGTGAGTGGGGAGGTGGGGAGTGGGATAGGAGGTTGGGGGGCTCAGGGGAGTAGATCACGCAGGGACTTGTGGACCACTTTCAGAACTTCAGCTTCTACTCTGCATGAGATGGGAAGGCACTGGAGGCTGTGAAAGATAACGGGATATGAAAATATGAAAGCCATCCAATCAAATCCAACTGCACAGAAAGGCTGAGTGTGATTCAGAGCCAAGTATGTCCGAAGTCACTCAGAGAGGACATGAGTGAAGAGCATGAATCTCCCTTTGGATTCAGGTCCAGAAATGTGAACCAGGACAGATTCAATAGAGCCTTGTTTGACCCACATCCACATGAGTTTTCAAAGTATTCTCAGATGGTGGGTCTGCTTCAGGGTAGTTTTGGGGAGCTTCCTGATTTGAGAGGAAGATTTACTAGTTAAGAAATAAACAGCCGGGCTCGGTGGCTCAGCCTATAATCCTACGCCTTTGGGAGGCTGAGGTGAGTGGATTGCCTGAGTCCGCGGGTTCGAGACCCGCCTGGGCAACTTGGCGAGACCTCATCTCTACAATAAATCAAAAAATCAGCCGGGCGTGGTAGCGCATATCTGTAATTCCGGCTACTCGGAAGGCTGAGGCGGAAGGATCGCCGGAGCACAGCAGGTCGAGGCTGCGGTGGCCGGGAGCGGCCACTGCACTCCAGTCTGGGCGACAGAGTGAGACTCCAACTCAAAAAAAAAAAAAAAAAAAGAAAGAAATAAATAAACAACACAGACAACTCCCTCTTTCCTTTTATGTCATAATCAACAGGCATTTGGCGGTAGGGGTAACTTCTGTAATTCCTACAGATATAAACATATAGAAGTCATGCATGGGCTTCTATATTTGGGGAGAAATTTAAAAACTGACAAATAACGAGCCACAGATGTACTTTTGTACAGGATGCAGGCAATCAATCAGGTAGCCTACAGACTAGTGGAAGTAATGAAAGGGCAGTTAAAGATGGCTTTGCAAGAGCTAGGAAGTCCATGGAGGAAGAAGGATGAGAAGAAAGCACTGACAGAAGCCCCTGCAGGGCCAGCTCAGGGTCTGGTAAGAGGTCATCTTGACCGGCACCCAGAGCTGGAAAGAAAGAAGAAGAAGGGGAGCAGGATTGTATAGGGAGGGGCTTAAACACTTGGTAAAAGAGTCTGAATTTTATCTGAAAAGCCCCAGAATCAGTAAATGGTTGGGGAATATCAAGAAAACCAGGATAAGTGCTTTTAGAAAATATTATTAAACTTTTATAATGCCACATAGCATTCATTCAGAAAAGGGCACACAGATTGACAGTGATCAGCTCAATAAAATTTCATGAAATGAGCACCCCCCACCCCCACAACCAGCATCCAAATCAAGAGACAGAACATTAACAACGACCCAGAAGCCTCCTGCTCTGTGCAGTCTCCTGGCAATGGCATGCTGAATGCAGCTAGCATCAGTTTGGGAAGGCAGGTCCTGCTCATCTCTTCCTAATCCCATGTTCAGTGACTTGATGCAGGTTGTTTGAAATGGCCATGGGAGTATTTACACCACGAAAATCAGCAAACACTATCAATTAGCCTGTGTCTCCAGAGAGTTGATTGTTCAACATTTTCCAGCATACCATGGCCTCCTTATTTCCAACATGTTTCTGAATTCTTAGCTAATAAACCAGGAACCTAATCTCATTTCACAGTGATGTTACATGTGGATGTGTATATGCATATATGTGTCCTTTTCCCACCATCCATAGCCCTCAAGGAAAATATGCAGCACTGTGTAGAAAAATGTCATCTCACTTTAGGCAAATCTGCTTGCTTTCAAAATCTGCAGAATTTCAAAATTGTAAATGAAAGCAAAAGCAAAGGATTCCTCTAAAAAAAGGCAATTTATATTTCTCTCAGATGTTTCCTCTGACAACTATGAGCACTTGTGCAAAACATTTCATCAGTCAAGGAAAACTAGCATTTGCTGCTAATATAGTTCTTTTCTATTCCTTATTACAGACTATATACAAACAAAGTAAAACATTCATAACTAGTAAGATATATGTAGCAATGGAAATTTACATTAAGGGCCAGCAATAGGATCAGATGAGGTGAGCAAAGTTTGTAGAATTTCACGAGGTCAAAACTATTTTGTGGAAATCAAATGTGCCGAAAGGAAAAAAAAAAAAAAGAAAAAGGACTTTGCAACAACTTGGAAGGATTTAGAGCCTACCATACTCAGTGATCTATCACAGAAACAGAAAACTGAGTACCACATGTTCTCACTCATAAGTGGACCTTGAACAATTATCATAATATTATAAGAAAAGGATTGGCAGTAGTGGGAAACTGCCAGGGGAGGAGGGGCACACTTCATCAACAAGGGTATCTGCATAATGAGCATTTGTATACCTAACCCTGAATTGCATCCCACATCTTTAAGATAAAAAAATTTTTAAAACTATTTTGTTTTAAAAGTACAAAGAATCACTTGAATAGCATCAGTGTTTTCTACAGCTGCTTATCAAAATATGAGACATTTTCTACCTATTAAGATAGATTACAAATCAGAATTTTGAAAATTCTCTTGTATCACAGCAATGTCAATGACACAAAGAAAACAACAAATTTGGACTCTGGGATGAGAATTTCAGTCCTGGGAACAGGGTGCTTTGTGGGAGGCAGCACAACGGGAATATGAGCAGGGCTGAGCAGTAGGGGAAGTCTGCTGATGTTCTGGTTCTTGACCCGTGCTGGCTACGTCAGTGTGTTCGCTTTGTAAAAATCCATCAAACTGTACCTTTATGCTTTATGCACTTATCTGTAAGTATGCTATACTTCAATAACATATTGCAAAATCCAAAAACAAAGAGGCCAATTAAATAGAAGAAACATGCATTCTTCAAGTGAGATATATCTGTATGAACACCATGTTTGTACTTTATTATAGTTTGAATAGCTCTCCTTTGTACTCAAATACTTAATGTACAAAGTTCAGGGGGGAAAAAGCCACAAGCACATCCGGGCAGTCCATCTTCACCAGTGGTTGCTGACTCTATTTTCAGTGACGAGAAGATTGCTCCAGTGTTAACTACTGGACAAGGTAACTGGCCTACACTTGAGATATTATGACTATTTCTGATGAGGAGTTTCTAATATGAAGTTAACCCTATGTTTACCCTACCTACAATGTTGCTCTTTTTTTTTTATGAAACTGCTTTTTTTTTTTTTTTTTTTGAGTTGGAGTCTCACTCTGTCGCCCAGACTGGAGTGCAGTGGCCGCTCCTGGCCACCGCAGCCTCAACCTGCTGGGCTCCAGTGATCCTTCCCCCTCAGCCTTCCAAGTAGCCGGAATTACAGGCATGCACTACCACGCCCGGCTGATTTTTTGATTTATTGTAGAGATGAGGTCTCGCTGCCCACGCGGGTCTCGAACCCGTGGAATCAGGCAATCCACTCACCTCAACCTCCCAAAGGCGTGGGATTACAGGCTGAGCCACCAAACCCGGTTGAAACTGCTTATTTTTTACCTAGTTAAAACATAATCGGTCACACTCTTGTTTCCAGGAACAAAAGAATCTTTCTTTGCCAAGTTAATGACAGAACTCTCCCCATAGTCCATAAAAGCACATATATAGCATAATAAACCTATCTGATGCACTTGTTAAAGGGGATGTTGCTTTATTACTGCAAAATTGACGAATGAAAAAAGTGGGTGAAGTGCTTTTGATAAACAGAGATTAAAATTTGCTATTCCACTAAACATCAGCCCCAACCCAGTATTGCTATGATCTCTTTAACCTCTTTAACAGGCAATGAAAGTCTCTCCTCTCCTGTATTGCTGGTGTGAGTATAAATTGTAATGGCATCAATTTGACAGTAACTATCAAAGTTTTAAACATATATACCCTTGAGTCCTGAAACACTTCCATGAGAGTATGAGAGGGTGGAGATGCCAGGATGCACACTGGCATATCGTTGGCAAGAGTTAAAAATGGCGGACCTTAATGTGCATCAGTACCCACGTGGTGAAATTAAGTAGGGTTCATCCAAACCAGGAAATACACCAATATGACATGGGGACATAGGGCATATGACGTTTTAAAAATCAGGTGGACCATTGTCTGCTATGTGCAAAACTGTCCATGATGTATGAAACAAGTTGCAAAACAATAAATAGATGCTTTATGGTCACATTTTAATTTAAAATACCTCTGTATGTACCTGGCATCTAACACATGTTCATTACATATATACAAAAGTGAGTCTAGATAAAGGACAAATGGATATCCACCGAATCACTGGGGATAGGAACAGGGACCAGGTTTATTGGAAGGACTTGCCCTGTGTTTTCCCTATCCACTTCCTTATGGCTTAACTTAAAAAAAAAAAAAAACCTATATTTGCTTTTAAGTTTATATACACACACATCCCCCAACCCCGTTTCCTCCCACATGCTCACATACACATGAACCCACTTATACATACACACACGAAAATGGAACAATCTACTTTCTTTTCTCTGTGATTATACTCTCTCACATTTGCATAATTCACAAGTTAAACATGGGTGCCTGTTCTTTCAAATACTCCAATATAGACTCTCCTATCTGAAAATCGAATTGATTACATTGCTCATGACGTTTTTCCTTACCATTTCTGTGGGTGAGACATGCCATAAAGAGACGGTTCTTTCCTCGGCTTCATTGTTTATGGAAACATAAGAAGGCTGGTAGACTTTGGTTGGCTCTATCACCAGAACCTAAAATAAGAACAGATTCTTGTAACACATAGGAGTATAAAACATGTAGACCTGGCCAGTGAGGAAGAGGGGAGATCTGTACCCAATAAATACTCATTGAGAATCAACTATGTGACAAATACTGTTCTAGGAACCCAGGATACAGCACTGCACCGAAGTCATGGCCTACAGGAAGGCTAAAGAGGAATGACAAGCATATAGCGAGGGCCATCTCACATCATATAGCTCTCTGAAGAAAATAAGGCAGAATAGAGGTGACAGTGAACTGGGGAGTGCTTCTTTAGACAGGATGGCTAGGGAAGGCCTGTCTGAGGTGGTGACAGAGAAGAAAAAGGGAGATGATGGGTATTTTTGATAGAAATGAAGAAGTAGAATGGATGACCCACAGGTGCCAAGTCTGTAAAGATGCGAGCGGACAAAAAAGGAGGTGTCAGTCCATCAGTAAGGTGCTATTTCGTTAACAGAGAGGTGTGGGGCAGAGAAGGAGAAGAAGAGGGCGAGAAGGACTGGGGGGAGAAAGAGGAAGAAAGAGATAGGGAGGGAAAGAAGGAATAAATCTCCAAAACAAAGCAATATGTTTAAGACTGCTAAGCCTGGGTAGAGATTACACAAGTGTCTGTTCTGTTACTTTTTGTGCCTTTCAGTAGGTTTGAAACATCTCATAATTAAAAGATTTTAAAACATATTACCCAGCAACAAAATAAGTATCACAATCATTCCAAACAACTCAATTTTTATTAGATGTTTAGTGAAATTTTTTATAATAGTATGTTCACAAAATCTCAAGGTATAATTATAGAACACAATTATCTGAAGTTCAATTTTCAAGACACTCACATATCTTACTTATGATCGCTTCTAAGATGGTCATAAAATTGAAACAAAAACTTAATGAAAAGCTAAATGCAATTTTGCTTTCTCAATAAGGTTTAAATATTAATTAGTGGCATTGGAGGCAAACCAAAGCTTAACAGGAAACCACTTTGAATTCCAAGTTTTTGCTAATAGTACTACATTGTTTCTGAGGAAAGTTTCTCAATCTCAGCACTATCTACATTTTGGGCTGAATAATTCTTTACTGTAGAGGGATGGTCTATGCATTGTAGGATGTTCAACAGCATCCCTGGTCTCTACCTACAAGTTGCCAATAGCACCACCATCTCCCCTAGTTGTGACAACCAAAAATGTCTCCAGATATTGCCATATGTCCCTTGGGGAACAAACTCATTCCCAATTGAGAACCACTACTTTAGAGGATATGGTCAACTTTTCCCAGTGAGTGGATCTATCACTTGCTAATAGATAAGATTCGTGGTTATCCCAACACTTTAAATTACTCTATGATTTTCTTCCTTTTAGAGTACTCAATAATTAGATAGCACCTAGTTTCTTTTTATGAATCTTAAAGAAATGGATTTAGCATATCTTACCGGAAATCTGAGTCCATTAGAAACTTCATTTGTTGCCTCAAAAATTATATCTAACCAGAAGTTAAGCCGTTCTTGCCTGGGTGAATGTTCAATAATGGGTTTCTTGAAGCGCCGAATTAATAACAAGTTCTGAACTAATGATCGTAGGTACCTGGAAAAATCACAAACACCAATAAGTTAGATTCATAAACTGAAATCAAGTGTACTCCCTTTAAACAAAGTTTCCAAAAAGCTTTACATATTTACTTAAATTCATATTATGTCATGAATGCTTCATACACAATTGTTTAGCAGTCACAAAACTAATTAAAAGAAGCCCAAACAGTAGGCAAAATAAGTCCCAATTTTGGGACACAGTGGCCAAAGTGCAGTTGACTCTTGAACAACATGGGTTTGAACTGCACAGGTCTACTTATACATGAATTCTTTTTTCATTAAACCTATTGGAAAATTTTCTGGAGATTTGTGACAATTTCAAAAAGGTTGCACATGTACCATGTAGCCTAGAAATATTTTTAAAAGATTAAGAAAAAGTTAGGCATGTCATGAATGCATAAAATATATGTTTGATTCCAGTCTATTTTATCATTTACTACATAATACACAAATCTATTATTAAAAGTTTTATCAAAATTTACATGCACAAACACAGACCATCTGCAGTCAAGAGAAATGTAAACAAATGTAAAGACGCAGTATTGGCCGGGTGCAGTGGCTCATGTCTGTAATCCCAGCACTTTGGGGGGGCCAAGGTGAGATGATTGCTTGAGCCTAGGAGTTCAATCCTAAACAACATAGTGAGACCTTGTCTCTACAAAAAAATAAAAAATTAACTGAGCGTGATGGTGTGTGCCTGTAGTTCCAGCTACTTGGGAGGCCGAGGCAGAAGGATCTCCAAAGCCCAGGCGGTAGAGGCTGCAGTGAGCCATGATTGTGTCACTGCACTTCAGCCTGGGTGACAAAGTGAGAACTTGACTCAAAAAAAACAAAAAAGAGATACAGTATTTAATTATAACTGCATAAAATGAACTGTAATTATTTCATAGCCACTTCTTGTTGCTATTGTGTGGTGAACTCAAGTGTTGTGTGTATCTGCTTAAAATGCCCTGGGATGCTAATCATCTCCTCATGTGCAGTTCATCTCTCCAGTAAACTGCAGATCACAGTAAAAAGTGATTTCACGTGGTTCTTGAATATTTTTCACAGTGTTTAGTGCAATACCATAAACCTTGAATAACACCATGGGACCCATACAAAGTGTCACGAGTGATGCTGGAAGTGCTCCCAAGAAACAGAGAAAAATCATGACATGACAAGAAAAAGTTACATTGCATGATATATACCATAGATTGAGGCCTGCAACTGCAGTTACCTGCTACTTCAAGATAAATGAATCCAGCATAAGGACATTGGAAAAATAAAAAAGGAAATTCATGAAGCCATCACTGCAGGTATGCCAGCAGGTGCAAAGACCTTGCGCTTTTTGCAAACTACAAAATACATGTTAGTCAACTGTTTATATTACTGGCAAGGCTTCCGGTCAATAGTAGGCTATTAGTAGTTAAGTTTTTGGTACATTTTTGACTGTTCCCCTAACCCCCACATTGTTTAAGGGTCAGCTGTGGTTCAAAATTCAAAGCAATTACAAAATGACAAAATTTCAAACTCATTATCTTTCTAATTAAACATTTTGTTTTGAGGTAATTTTAGATTTGTATTAAGTTATAAGAAATAATACAGAGAAAACCCATATATCCTTGACCCAGCTTATCCCAATGGTAACATCTTGTAAAACTATAGTATGCTATCACAGGGTATTGCCAATGACACAGTCAAGACAGACAACATTTCCATCCCCATAAGAACGCCTCATGTTGAACTCCTATGGTCATACCTACTCCCCTCCCATCCCTATCCTCTCCTTTACCCCTGGCAACCTCTAGTCTGAAACTCATTTTGTTTTATTTTTTAGAAACTTAGAATCTGACCAGATTGATCTTGGTGTTATAATATCTTGACTCTGACCACACCTACCTTTGCTGTTGTCAGGAAAATTGAACTTTTTGAAACATAGTGGCCAGGCAGTGGTGGTGATGTCTTCTCTGACACTAAATGGGATGGTTCAGCTGAAAACATCACAGTATTATATAATCTTTAAAGACAAAGTTTGGCACTATCTTGGAAAGGTAGACTAGCTAGACTACAACTGACTTGCTTGGGTATGCAGCAGGCCTGGATTCTCCAAACCCTATACATTCCAAGGAAAGGTTTGGCCCTTAACTAGTCACTGGGAGCCCACTTCTAAGCCCTTGGGATATCCTGCCAACTAAGAGTGTCTCTATTTACCTGGGTCCTTGGGCCATGCCAGATAGTTTATGCTAACAATATGATTCATAGTAGGGTCCCTGGGCCATACTGCATCAGTCTGACCTCTGGAGAGGCTGGAAACTGAGGTACAAAGACCATCCACGTTGAGCACTCCATGCCCACATGACCCAGCCCCCCATAAAAACCTTGGATATCAAGGTTTAGTGAGCTTCCCTGGTTGGTAATACTTTATGCATGTTGTCACACATGATTGCTAGGAGAATTAAGTGCTGTTTATATGAGTCTACTGAGAGAGAACAACTGAAAACTTTGCCTTTGATGATTTAACCTGCATCCTTGCACTGCAATAAACCATAACTATGAATATAACAGCTTTTGTGAGTTCTTCTAGCATATCACAGGCTTGAGGGTAGGTAGTCTTGGGGACTCCTGACAACAGGTAACAACAATATAAATCAGCCCAGGTGCTGATATAATGGAAACATATCCACCCTGGGGTCTCCTCTCACTGGAGTGAGCTCCATCTGGCCCAGATGCAGCAACACACCACAAGATTAGGACTCTTCAAACAACAGCCATTCCAAGAGGGCTGGAGGCCCAGTCTGGCTCTGTGTTCTGTCAGCCTCAGAGAATTTCCAAAAAGTTGATGTGGTTTGGGGGTCAAACTTAAGGTCATTTGGGGAAGAAATAGCCTCAAACTAGATATGACTAAAGAGATTCCTACCCCCAGGAGTACAGACTGACCCACTGAACTGGGAAATAGGAGGTGGCAAATGAACACACATCATTAAAAGTAAATGTTTTAAAGTTATACAAGTAATTCATATGCATTTTAGAAAAATCAGAAAATAGAAGACAAAAACAAATTAAAAACTTCTTATAAGATTATCTCTCTGGGACAACCATAGTCAATATTTAGGGGAAAAAAACCCTCATTCATCAATTGTTTATTATACAAATGTCTACTGAGTATCTATTATGAGATTATAGTAACCAGTAAGATAACCACAATTCTAATGGAGTTTCATGGCTATGGGGAAGTCAGGTATTACCCACCCCTCCCAGACCTTTTCCTAGAAGTCACATACCCAACACGCATTTTTAATTGAAATGAGAGAATATAGAACAGTGGTTCTCAAAGTGTGGTCCCTAGAGAAGCAGCAGCAGTTTGTAATTCGTAAATGCAGATTCTGAGACTCCACCCCAGACCTACTGAGCCAGAAATCCTGAGGGTGGGCGCAGCAGTCTGTGTTTTCATCAACACAGTTGATCCTGAAGCATGATACAGTTTGAGAACCACTGATAAAGAAAAATGTATCCTACAAATGGCTTTTCTTAGTCTACGATAAACCATGAACACACTGCCATGTCTCAAAGCATTCTTTCCCGCATACTTAAACGACTTCATAGCAGGCTAATCCAGGATTGTTGCTGTGCCACCACTTTATTTATTATACTCTATTATTGGTCTTTTAGTTCCAGTTTTCATTTGTGATAAACATTTTATTGGTGCTTTCTCACCAATGCATAACATGTACTAGTAGCAAAGAGCATTTTGCTCTTGAGGACCTAGACAACCTGAAGAAATTAACAAGATAGAGAGTTTAATCTCAGGGACAGAGCATGGAGGAATAGATTGTGTGTTTCTGTCTCTCCCTCTCTTCACATAAAAGCAAGTGAGCCTTCAGAGCAGTTAGTTCTGCCCTAACTTTGCTTTAATGAAGCAGTCAGAAGGGGAAACATGACAGTTATTATTGTTTTGTGCATTTCCATCCCTTCTCCCTGGGGAAGACATTTCAGAACAAGGTCAGATGTTGAGATGGGCGATGACAATGCACAGACATAACTCACCAGACTGGAGGTTTCAGTTTGAATAACCTCTCTGCTGCCTGGACAGCCTTCCCGACATCGTTGGCCAACATGCTGACGTTGAAGAACTGACCCACATCCCAGTAATTGTTCATTTTCTCCAAGCTCCCTTTTCTTCCCAACAAACTGTTTAGTCGGACACCTTAAGAAATTGAATTTTAGATAGAGTCATGAAAAACCTTTCTAGTTTCTGTCATGTTGTACCAACCTTTAGATACAAGACATTATTTATTTTGGCTGCTGTACTGGGTGTGCTATCAGCAAGTAATTTTCCTTTTTAAATAGAATGCTAGTTATTTGAACATAATTTTTAATGCCAAATTTGTGTAGCCAAGCATCAACATCTGTAATAATAAAAAGCTGTACCTATTTTCCTTAGCTCCATGGAAGTTTCAAATTGCTGTCCAGCGACTATCAGCAAAACTGCAAGGTTAATTCCCGAATACAGAGATGACTGGAGTTCAAACCCTTTGCGATACCTATAATTATAGAACCACCAAATTCATATTATATTATCATACTAGAACAAAAATATGTAAATAGTGGTACAGACCAACCTTTGCATGAAAGCTTTTGTTAGTCTGATTTATCATTTTCCAGTCCCCCCTCATCACCTTTACAAACAGCTACTTGCAACTCTCAAATAACTTTTTTAAAATGTCATAATAGCAACACAGTAACTTACACTAGGGAGTTTTACATTTTTTCTTCATACAGTTTGCATTTTAATTTTAAAAGTCATAATGATCACATAAAATAGGGAAATCATAGTAGAGAATACAAAAGATACTTCAAATCTATTCTCCTATCCCAAAAGATGACAATTTGATATCCAAATCTCATTTTTAAAGTTAGACTCTAGCTGTACATAGAGTTTTTTTCTTTTTTTCTTTTTTCAAGTTGGAGTCTCACTCTGTTGCCCAGGCTGGAGGGCAGTGGCATGATCGTGGCTGACCACAGCCTCAACTTCCTGGGCTCCGGTAATCTTCCCACCTCAGCCTCCCAGGTTGCTGGGGCTACAGGCACACACCACCGTGCCCGGCTAATTTTTGACTTTTTATATGTCCCAGGAAACTGAAGTTCCTAAGGAGTTCCCCGAACTCCCATCTCTGTTCCTTGTTAGGTTGCCCTGGCTGGTCTCAATTTCCTTGGCTTAAGCAATCCTCCTGCCTCAGCCTCCCAAAGTGCTGGGATTGCAGGCAGGTTCCACTGTACCAGGATCCACTGTACCTGGCCACACAGACTATTTTTATGACATAGAAATGGCACCAATTACAGGCTGTTTCTCCCCAAACCATAGGGGGTTTTTTTGCTTAGATCACAACATGGAATTATTTTTTTCACACATAAAGCAGTATTGCCAGAACCCTGAATCCCAAATAGTTAGAAAAGCAGTAGCATAAAGGGGGGCGAGGGGCAGGGGTCTACTTCATTAGGGATAAGGAACAAGATACAAAACTGGGAATATCATTTTTATACCATTTTAATGGTGCCATTTTAACTCTATTCTTTTCTATACATATGAAGTTTCTTTCTCTTCCATGAGCAAGTACAAATATTATAAGTAGGAAAAAGAAGGACTCAATCAACAAAGTCATGACACAAAAATGTCTTTAAGTGGCACAGTTCATACCAAGAACTTGACAACTAGGAGCAATTTTATCACTTGTGTGACAATAAGAGAATTTAACATCAACAAAACGTTAATTCTGTAAGGGAGAAGTTATCATTTAAGCCAGTTAAAATATGGCTTTATAAACATTAGGGTATAATAAAAATACCTTCAGATCAGAAAACATCAAGAAAGTTCTTCCTACCTCAGTCAACAAAATTCAACTTTTTCCCCTGTATGTTTTAGAAATTTTTAATTCTGTATCGTACTGGATTTTATTTTTCATTTTCTTTCACGATGAAAAGTTATACTGAGAAGACGACAGAGAGGGTCACTTCTCCATAAGTCAAAACAGGTCCAGTTTTGGGGCAGAGAAAATTTGAACTCCAGTCAGGACCATAATTCCAGATTTGCCACTAACCACCCCTGTGACCTTAGACCAGCACCATCACCTTGGACCAACCTCCCACCTCCCAAAGTCCACATCTGCACTTGAGGGTCTAGGTTAGATGATTTCCAAGATCTCATCCAGAGCCAAAATGCCCTGGCCAGAAGACTAAGCTTCATTTGCTCCTGTCCCAACTGCCACAACCTTCTGAAGTAGGTGAAGTAAAACTACTGTGACTTTCTTGAAGGAGCCAAAGGCAATAACTTCTTGACCTGAGGGTTGAATTCTTGGTCATCATAGTGGGAACATAGCTTCCTGTTTTGGCTTTAGCAAATGTTAGCTTCCCTATAATAGCAAGTGACTCCTGTCTACCATACAGTGCATTAGGTACTACTGGGAATTAAATAAAAATAAAATAAGGTCATTATTTTTCAGGAACCTACATTATGGTGGAAGGGATAAGACTAATACACAACTAGTGAAAATATAAGCAAGAATGTGATAAATATCCTTAAACCACATATATCCAAGTCTAGAGGAACTCAAAGAAGATAAATAGGGCCCTAGAAACTTGAAATATGTCATAAAGATGGATAGCAGTGATTTGGAAAGAAAATCCTGGCACAGAAAACAACAGGAATAGAGGTGGGAGTTTGGGGAACTCCTTAGGAACTTCAGTTTCCTGGGACATACACCAGGTACTGGGAAATAGAGCTAGAGGTGGGTTGGAGTAAGTGCTTAGAACACTTAGAGTGGTGATCTAAGAGTTTGAGTTTTTATATCATAGGGAGTGAAGAGCTGTGGTAGGTTTTTGAGCTTTAGGGGTAGTAAGCTATAAATCTATGAAGGAAAGACTGAAGAGACATCAAGCAGGGAGCCTACTTGGAATACTGTTAGAACATTTCTGGCGAGAAGTTAAAAAAAAAAAAAAGCAGTGACAGGGTGGTGTGATGGGAAAGGATTGGCAAGAGGTGATGTAAGACTCACAGAGGAACTGGAAATGGGAACTGACAGTATGGAGAGATAAGTGAGTGAAAGTAATCAAACATTATCTAAGAGCTTAAGCCTAAGATACAGAATTGTAGTAAGAAAGTAAGACATTGAAAGTCATGCCTTTTGGAGAGGAGGAGATGACTGCAGCCTTCAACATGTTGAGTCTTAAACACCAGCACCATCTTGAGGTAGAACGGATGGCCAAAGGAGGGGGGCCATATAGGGTCACAGTTTAGAATAGAGGCTGGGCTGGAGATCTCCAGCTAAGGGTCCCAAGGTGCGGGAATGGCTGGGATCACCAGAAGTGTGTGTGAATGGAGAGAAGGCAGAGAACAGAGCTTCCCATATGTGTGAAAGGAGAGAGAGAAGGGGGAGAAGCAGTTAGAATTGAGAGCAGGATAGCAATGCCAATGGCTCTTACAATGGAAATGGATGAGGTGGGCTGTTGACTCCATCTTCAAAATATATTCAGAATTTAACTTCTCAACACTTTTGTTACTACCACCCTCGTTCAGGCCACCATCTGCTCTCCCCCAAATTACTGCAATTTTCTCCTAACTATTCACTGCTTCTGTCCTTGTCCCTGTGATAGACTGTTTAATGTCCACAAATTCCTCCCATCCAAATATGCACACACCTTTGCAATGTGACTTTGCTATTGCTTCTGTCAAGAAGTGGAATATATTCCTCTACTCTTCTGAAGTTAGGTGGGCCCTGGGATTTGCTTCAACCAATAGCATGTGGCAGAAGTAACCTTGCATGAGCTCCTGAGCCTAAGCCTCAAGAGGCTCTGCAGGTTCCACCTTCACTCTCTTAGAATGCTGCCTACGAAGCAAGAAAGCTGGTCTACCAAAATTAGAAACACATGGTAGAAAACTGAGGAACACCAGCAACAGCTGGTGCCAAATGTATGTGGAGCCAGTGGGGCCATCTTGGATCTTCCAGTCATACCTATTCCTACAGCTGACTGCAACTTTAGGAGTAAGCCCAGGCAAAGTCAGCAGACAAACTAACTCCCTGGCAAGCCCAAAGAATCACAAGAAATCATAAATCATTGTTGTCTGAAGTCACTAAGTTTGGGGTTATTTGTTATGCAGCAAGTAATAGCTGATACACCTCCTAGCCATCCTTACTTCTCACCACCCTTAAGCAAGCCCAGCATACTTCCTCCTCAGAGTCTCTGCCCTTGCTGTTCCCTTAACCTGGAACAATTTCTCCAAAGTTATCTGTGAAGCTCACTCTCGCATCACTTCCACATCTTTATTTGCCTTCACTGACCTTATTAAAACTGCAGACCACCCCTCCTAGCCCTCCTACATCCTTCTCCCTGCTTAACTTTGCCCCACAGCCCTCACATGACACCTTACTCATGTCACTTTGTTTGACTTCTCTCACCAACTATGCAAAGTCCCTGAGGGCAGGATTCATGTCTGCCGTGTCTGTATCTGCACCATCTATAAAAGTTTCTGGCACACAGTAAGTCATAAATAAATAAGCGTTGATTAATGAATAAATGAATGGATGAAGAGATCCCTGGAAAGATAATGCCTTGATGGTGGTAGACAAGCTCCTGGAAACAGTAGCTGGGAAGGAGCATGCTAGGCCTCCTTCTTGCCCCATAAGTGAGTGAACTTGTGGAAAGTGTGTGGTCAGTAGAAAACCCTGTTTCTTATAATTTTCTCTCAGAAGAAGGAATCTGGAAATTCCCAGACCACACTCACTATGATTTATTTTCACTGCCAGTAGACAGGCACACACATACACATAAGAAAAATAACTGCCTCCTCAGTCTATGTGATTCCATTCTTTGCAGAGTTGCACGTGCTACTGACTAGGCTGAGGGTTTACCACTCAATGGCGCTGTCTCGGCTGGAGTCATCTTTGCAGTCTGAATCCAAGAAGATGTCCTTGTAGATCCTCCCACATAGGCAGAACATATCAGGGGCTGGATGATCACAGCTCTGCAGGACCTGGAGCATGACCTGAAGAGCCTTCCCACGGTCACCTGTGCTGTTTCTCCTGAAAGATACAGGTTATAAGATTACAAAATGTCTGTATCAAGACAGGGTGGTATAGATGCATTCGTTCTGCTAAAAGATTGGGTGTAACGATGCTGCACTCAAGCAGGAAAAAAAGTATAAATAACATTCCTCATTTAAATGTAGTAACTGCTAAGATCCACCATAGCAAATCTCATACAATTATACTCAGTCCCTACTTGATCTTCTCTTCAACAACAAAACCATAAGAAAAGGAAAAAATAAGAGAGGAAGGGGAAGTCTATAAAATAAAAAAGACTTAAGAGTCATATCAACCAAATGTGATGTACAGACTGTCTGGATCATGTTTAAAACAAACCCACTACAAAAGATGACACAATTGGGAAATTTTGAACACTGATGTTGAGAAATCGTTGTTCACTTTTAGGTAAGATTATGATTGTGTCTTATAAAAGTGCTTTTAACATTTATTGACACATACTGAAAGATCTGTGAATAAAATGGTATGTATTTGCTTCATAATAAATCTAGTGCTGGAGTATGAAGGAGTGAAGGGGAAAAAAAAAACTAGCCATGCTCTAATAATTATCAAAGTGGATAAGGGATACATGGGAGTTTATTATTGTGATAGTTAATTTTATGTGTCAGCTTGACTGGGCTCAGGGATGCCCAGATAGCTAGTAGAACATTATTTATGGATGTGTCTGTGAGGATGTTTCTGGGTGAAACTAGCATTTGAATCAGTTGACTGAGTAAAGAAAATCCACCCTCACCAATATGGGTGGGCATCATCCAGTCTGTCGAGGATATGAAGAGAATAAAAAGGTCAAGAAAGGGTGAATTTTTTCTCTTCTTGAGCTGGGACATACATCATCTCCTTCCCCTGGACATCAGAGCTCCTGGTTCATGGGCCTTCAGACTCCAGGACTTGTTTTAGCAGTATCCCCAGTTCTCAGGCCTTTGGACTGAAGTACACCACTGGCTTTTCTGGTTCTCCAGTGTGTAGGCAGCATATCATGGGACTTCCCAGGCTCCACAGCCATGTGAGACAATTCTCATAATAACTCTCTTCTTATACATTTCTAGACATCCTATTTGTCTGTTTCTCTAGAGAAGTCTGCCTAATACAATTATACTAGTCCCCTAGTTTTAAATATATTTGTAAGAAATAAAATGGCAATTCATTTTCAAAATGACAATTTGTTACTTCACTTCCTGGTTCTTCCTCCTTTCTTAGCGGGCTTTCTTTTTTTGACAGGCTTCCTTTGGTGGACAATGAGACACAATCAAAATTCAAAAACATGTATTTCACCTTATTTGTGTAAAACTTGCTTGTGTTTTACCTTATTTGTACAAAATTATTGCTTAGATGTTGTCCGAAAAAGTGATGTAACCTCTAAAGTACTCAGCCAATGGAAAACCAAGGGAGGAACTTGCGCTTTAGAAGCATAAATATGCTGGCTGTGACTGCCCTGGTGTGCCTGCTCACCCAGGAGACACACATTCTTGAAAAAACGAGATTTAAAAAGCTGCATCACTTCCCCAAGCTGAGTCTCCATGTCATGCTTTGACAACAAAACTGAGGAGGTTCGATTCCACCTCCCACATATTTGAAATTTTACACAATGAAAACAAAAAATATAAAAGGTACCATATTTATTTACCATTTGAGTGAGACTCCAACTCAATTCCACTTCTAGAATCTATAATATACAATTTGTTTTCAAGAATTTTCTGAGCCGGGCTCGGTGGCTTAGCCTGTAATCCCATGTCTTGGGAAGCTGAGGTGAGTGAATTGCCTGAGCCCGTGGGTTCGAGACCCACCTGAGCAACTTGCGAGACCTCATCTCTACAATGAATCAAAAAAAAAAAAAATAGCCGGGCGTGGTAGCACGCGCCTGTAGTCCCAGCTACTTGAAAGGCTGAGGCGGAAGGATCGCTAGAGCCCAGCAGGTCGAGGCTGCGGTGGCTGGGAGCGGCCACTGCACTCCAGTCTGGGTGATGGAGTGAGACTCTAACTCAAAAAAAATAAAAATAAAAATAATTTTCTTAACTAAGATGTTTGCTATGGTACTTCTTATAACAGTGAGGAACTGGAAATCACCCAAATATCTATTGACAGAAGAATGGTAAACTATGTTTTGTAACAACCAAACTATGGAATAACTTGTAACCATTATAAAGAACCTGATCCATATGTAATTATATAGAAGAACATCTGTAACATTTCATGGAAAAGAACTGAACAAAATGAACAGCATGATCCCATTCTTTGAAATAAATACTATTTACACATATGCTTATGTACATAGACAAAAGTCTATAAAGATATTGAAATGTTCAGAAAAATCATTGCTTAGATTTATATAAGGTGGTCCTGTGTATGTTTTATTAATAATTATTCTAATAAATGAATAAATAGATTCTTCTTCTTAAGTTCCTGGTAATTTTACAATAGGCTGTTTTATGCTTTCTTTCCTGAGGACATGTACCTCAAAAAACTGCATCATACAAGACAACAAATTAGTACCTAAAACAGTCTTTCTCAACTGTGGTTCCATGACAGCATTAAGTCATAGAGAAAATTATTTGATTATTTGAGTGACTATTTTCTCAGTTCTTCCAAGGATGGTATATGGTCAGCCCCATTCTGGACGAATGAGAGAAATTCATTCATTTCATACAGTGGATGCCATGAGGCATTAGAACTTAATTCTCCTGTGGAACCCAACCCAGGTTGATAAGGGCTAATGTAGACACTTGGCATCCTTCTGGAAGCCTGCAATAATTAAGCCTGTATTTCAGCTCTGACTTTTTCCATTTGCTACCTTGATCTTGTTCTAATATATTTGATCTTTCCTCTCTTTGTCCTATAGAATCCAGTTTAATCTGCTTGTAAACCAGATCTCTTATTGCAAGTTCACCCATAATATTATTTAATTTTTAAGTGCCAACACATACCAACCCAATTCAAATTTACTAAAGCGTTTAGATAAGTTATTACATCTATGGCAAGAATAGGAAAAACGTTAAAACTTTAATGAGGTACAAAATTTCTGTATCTGTAATCAGTCAACTTTTGAAGTGTGACACATTCAGAATTCTGAAAAGAATGTACTAGATTCACCTAAATGCTTAATTGTTGATGTGAGTTCTGGTTTGTTTGTCTTTAGGACCAGCTATATCAAGATTTTCTTTAAATTTTTTTATTAACTTGAAGCTTACCCTTGTTATTCAAAACAAAAGGTCTTTTGAGTATAAACAAAACAAAAATCAAACATTTGAAAAAAATGAAAAGCAAAGAGATTTTCAGCTTAAAAGTCACTTTAAGACAGGTGCTAAACAGCTAATCCCTTTAGTGGTTAGTAATCAGCTTTCAGATCTGCTTATCATTTTCAGATCCCAAGGTATCCAAGAACAAGCCTACAGATAAAAACTCCTGTGTTTAATCAGTCAGCAACATCTGTTTCTGGCAATAAAGTCATTTCACAATTAAGAGAAGGAAACTTTGACAGTGGGTCTGTACCTTGGCTGCATATTAGAAGCACCTGGGGAGCTTTAAAAACCCTGGGGCCCAGGCTATACCCCAGACCAATTAAATCTGAATCTGTGTAGATGAGACACAGACATCAGTGCTTCTTATCCTGGGCATTCTGAGTCAACAGGTCCGCATCATTGCTAAATCCACTAAACAATTCTCAGTCCTTGTCCATTTGAACTACATGTGCACTTGACAATTGGACTACCTTCTTCCTTTATTTGCAGGACACTACACCTGCCAGATATTTCTCCAACTTTAGTCTAATTTTCTGGTTCCTATTCACCTTTCTGACCTTTTAACTTTGGAGTATCCCTCAACACAACACTTGGACCTTCTCTCTTTCTTGGTAACTACACTAGATCACTCGATGATATCATCCATTGCCATAACTTTACAAACATCTATAAAGACTCCCAAATTTCTATCTGAGCCTAGGCCTTTCCCCTAAACTCCAGACTCACACATCAAACTGCCTTCTCAGAAACTCCCTTGCATGTCTAATACCTCAAACTTAATGTGCACAAAATCAAATTCTTGATTGTCCCATCAAACCTGTTATTGGCTGGGTGCGGTGGCTCACGTCTGTCATCCCAGCACTTTGGGAGGCCATCCCTTGAGCCCAGGAGTTCGAGACCCGCTTGGGCAACATAGCAAGACCTCATCTCTACAAAAGAACCTAAACAACAACAAAAACCCCCTGCTCTTCTCAGTCTTCCCCTTCTTGTTTCATGGTCAGTCCATTTTTCCTCTTATTCAGGCCAAAAGCTAGAGTCATGCTTGATTCCTCTAACATCCCTCATTCAACCCGTAGATTTCACTGGCTTTTATTTCAAACTATATCTGAAATTGGCCCACTCCTCATGACTCCCACACTTATGACCCTGGTCCCAGCCACTGACATTTCCTGCTTCTGCTCTTAGCCCTCTACAATCTGTTCTCAACACAGAAGTCAGAGTGATCCTCTGTATTCTAAGTCAGGTCACTACACTTCTCAAAACTCTCCAGTGGTTCCCATCTTAGAGCAAACACCAATTTTCTTTCAGTGGCCTACAAGGCTAGTTGTTTCTTACTTCCTCCCTTGCCGCCCATCACCTACTGTCCTCCGGTTGCACAAGCCTCCTTGCTGTTCCACATGCTGATCCCTCTACCTGAAATGCTCTCCCCTCATATATTTTCTAATCTTTTCTTGCCATGTCACTTTCTAATAGATGAGGTCTGCTCTGAGTACCTCTCATTCTACTGGCCCTCCTGATCGTCCTAACCTGTTTTAATAATATTTTTTTCTCACCCTATTTTAGAATGAAACTCTAAGGGCATAGATTTGGGGGGAGGGGAGGTCTGTGCCCCAAGATGCTTTTTCCACTGCTCAAAACAATTTTTGAACTTGTCCATTTTGATGCCTTTTAGTGCTTCTGCCATTTTGTTTCACCTCTTCCACACTGGCAAAACGTTTCCCTTTGAGGACTTTGTCATCTGGG